TATATATATATATAGTATTATTTCATATCAAAATGAATCAAATTCAAACACCAAATATTTATTCATATTATTCGTAGCGAACGAGCCCAAGACGAGATTTTGAAGGAGCCGAAGACAAGCTTCTCGCGAACAACGAACAACGAACAACGAGCCGTAACAGTCCTATTTGCTACTCTTTTATGTAAATTTTTTTTCCTCTGTAGGGCTTCGCTCGCCCCCGTCTCCAAAACCGTCGATCGTTTTCTATGTCGTTCTCTCTCATGTCTCATGGCCATCCCGCGTCTCCTTCTGCGCCCATTTCCTCCATCGTTGTTGCAGAGGATTTCTGGCGCTCAAGGAAAAGTATTACATTTGTTATTCTTATTATTCAGATGTTATTGTGGTGCTATTTGTTTATTGTGGTGTTATTTATTTGTTTTGAGAATATTTTTGATGTTATAATAACACAATACCATTACATAAATACTTAAATAACGCAGAATAACATAAGAAGAAAGTAGCTCTACTTCAGTAGTCCTCATGTAATATTTTTCCCGCGCTTAAGGTCATCTCCCTCGCAGCCTTGGCTTTGCACGTCCCTCGTCCCTAAGGTTAGCTCTCCGTAATTTCGATTTTACGGTTGTGGAAGTGTAGATCTCATGCCTAAGTACAAATCCGGTGTTGATATTTTACCCAGGTATAATTTTTTTCTTCGTCCGGTGTTAATGGCAGAATAGTTTTTGGGTCATCTTCCTCCTGTAATTTCGTTTGCATCGTAATTTTTTTGCTTTGTTTCTCATGGTATTTATTATATGCTTCTTGGTTTTAATAGCTTGGATTGAAGTTTAATACTTATTTTCATATGCATCTCTACCACTTATTGCTATAATTTCCCTTCCTTAGCCATTATAACAGCTCCTCCCACAATCCTCACATACAAATTTGTAATTAAAAAATTATTAGATGTCTATGCTTTACTTTAATTTCATTTTGAATCTGTCGTAGGGCTCATCCTCTTATGGGGTCCAAATTTTCCTCCATGCAACAAGATAAAAACTTTTATGCTTAATGTTTATAGGAATTTTGATCACACGTGTACTTTTATTAGAGATTCATTTTTTGAGCAAGATAATCTACATCTCTTTATTGATGCTAATCATATTGATTACCATCTTTTTGCTAATTATAAGCTAACAAAACAAGGTCCTTAACTGACAACCCTCATGGTTATCGTTGCCTACAAATTCTAAGCAGCCTTCTAAGAGTGAAAGATATTTAAATTTTCTTTTTTAAAGATCCCTCTTCCCCTGATTTTAATCTTGCATATGTTTTTATTAACTATTTTTAAATCAATTTTTCATTTGTTGGTCATTTTACTCTTTTTTGTTTTGACCCTCCATAATTTTTTTTATTCTCTGCTTCCTCAGTTTTCTTCCAGGTATTGTTGTATTTGGTGCATACATATGAAGTTCGTCGTTAGGTACAAGTTGTTCACTTTTTCCCAGGAGGGTGACAAATATACCATCTTAGGCTATCTTATATCCATAATTATATTGATAATGTTAAAAATCAACCAATATATGACGTATGACTTGAAAACAATGGGAGAAATACATGATCGTATGAAAATACTCATCAACATAGGTATGCCACGATGCTAGCTCTTTATTGCCAATGAAGTAAACAACATGAATAAATGGGCGATAAATCATTGGCCAATATCCACAAATATACTCTTTCTGTTGGAAGTCAACTTTATATCTGTCTTGATATCCCTCGACTTGGCCACGTATTGTGTTGAAGGTTCAATAATGAACTGTCTTTTATTTAGTTAACCCTCTTATGTACTCCTCAGCTGCAAGTATTAATTTCCCCTCTATTTTCTTGATTTAAGCTTATTGTAGCTTTTTTCTCCGTTAATATTTCTCTAATCATATCCACAGAATTTACAACTGGTTCTCTAGCTTCTCTAATCCATGAGTTGGACTTTGATATGTTGCTTGTATTGTTTTGAATTCTAATTTTAGACAAAAGTTGATGTTTCTCCTATTTGTACAGAAGATTGACCAGATATGCTTAAGTTGTAAGTTAATTTCAAAAATCTCATTGAGTTTCACATCGAATTTTGATCTAGTGTACGCATTTGAGGCTAGTCAAATTGTGTCGAATCGCTTTGCTACCTTGAAAATTGTGATATTTTTTAATGTTCTTTCATAAATGATATCTGCAAACTCTATATTCTGCATCTAGAAAAGTACACCGTAATGCCTCAATCATACAATTCTTTATTTTCGAAATAAACCCTATTGGCACAACTTTAAACTTAAAAGATATAGCTAAAATTTGGCAATAACTATTCCCAAGACCTCTTTGACTCAAACTCAACAACTACAAATGTAATTGCAAATAGTCCATTATGTCTATCTAGGGTTGTAATCGAGCCGAGCCGAGTATGTTATAGTTCGGAATTAGCTTAGGAAAATTACAAGTTATTTATGTTCAGCTTGAGCTTGTATTGAGCTTTCATATATTGTTCAAGCTTGACTTGTTTAAATTTTTTAATGTATAAACTTGATTTGTACTTGTTTGTTTATGACAAGTGAACGAGTTAATAAACAAGATAAAAATTCAAACGAGTATCTAGATTTTCATATAAAATATTAATGAATAATTTTAAAAATTTGATCACACCTATTAATTTATTGATTGTAAACTCTATAAAAATGAAATTAATTTATGAATAATGATCATATGAGATGTAATCTCTCATATTTTAACATAATCATACTCATACTTCCGATTTTGCACCCAATTCTCACATTTAGATGTAGGTGTTAGATTTCTCACAGTGATATACACTTGTCATTTTCTTAGCTTTTTTGGATAATTTGTAGATATTTTTTATATTGAGTTGTTGTATCATCCTTATTTTTAATCATATATAACTTACAATACTTACACTGTACTTTCTCAACATCACTTTTAAATCAGGTAATTTTTTTTTAGCCAAGTGGAAAAGAGAGATGTACGAGAGGCTAGAGTTTTAGAGGTCAATGCACATCACGATCTTGTCGTTGCCTTCAATCTTGTACGCTCTAACAACTCAAGGTTTCGTATGTTTCGGGTGAAACTGGAAAACACGAAACTATGAGAGTCTAAAGGGAAGTGAGATTTGCAAGATTTTAAAGTTAATTTTAAAGGGTATTTCATACATACCACACAAATTTTATATATTTTCATATCTAAATCCTAAACTTTAATAAAACAAATATATAATTAATAGTTAAACAACATAATTATTGATATAATTATATATTACTATTAAATATCTTATTAAATAAATTCTAGTTAATTAAAATTCATTCAAATAATATATCATATATAAAGAGAGTTATTATCGAGCTTAATATCGAGTATTTAACGAGTTAGCTGTTGAAAAACAAATGAGTTTGTTTGTGAGCATAAATGAACAAGTTCGATTATGTTCATGTTTAATTCTTTTAAGTTCCGAGCTTTTAAAAATCGTTTAGGCTTGTTTATTTATTAAATTGAACGAAGATGATTGAGTATTAAGCGAGCCGAGTTCGAGTTGTTCATCGTGTGCATTGGTTTATTTACAGCCCTATTTCTATCTATGACATTTGCCGAAAGCAACACCCTCAAGTATTTAGATTTTAAGTGGCATGCATCAAGCCTCACGATATGTCTGCAGCCAGCTAGGAACTCATCAATGCTCGTCTTGAAACTAATATATACTCGCTTAAATGTCTTATCAATGTCATTGTACTCAAAAGTAATATAAGAACCGAGATTCCTCCTAACGAGCTCCGCATATAGTGTAGGAACTAACTTGTAACAATCATCAACTTATCAAAATATTTAGTCATGCAAACTTGTTTGGATCTCCACACCTTTATATACGGCAGTGACAAGGCACTCTTACCTTCTAGACCAGTTTTAATTTATTTTGAAGGTATGTTTGGATAAGTTTTTATCATATCTTGTATTTCATTAGCTACACAACTAGGTGTTCCCTATTTACTACAAGTTATATTGACACTTGGCAAATATGTGAAGCTTCAATTTTTCTTACTTCAAATGTTTGTCAGTCGGCCAAGGCTATAGCCCGCACTCTCCATGTGTAGCCACTATATATATAAATAAATGATAATCGCTCTATTTATATTACTCATCTAAAACTTCATTCCAAAATTCTAAACTATGAACAATTTCCAAAAAAAATAATAGCAAACTTGTTGAATCATTAAACTGAAAGCCAACCCTTAAAGACATCATTAGTCATTCAACTCATTAACAACTATCCATATAGTTGTCAAGTTCATATGTGTATCTGTTAGTGCTATCATAACTTAATTGATAATACTCAATCATTTTATCACCATGCAATATTATGAACTTTAAATCATTTGCACCGACACAGACAAATACAAGTATAAAATGTTAGAGAAGTTGTATATGATTATATGAAAAAATTGTCAAATTGATTATAGTGGATGAACTGAATATACGCAAGTACAATGAATATAAGAGATAAATATGAGTCAGGGAAGATAACCCGACATAGATATTACTCTCTCAGTGATACTACCACATATTCGAACTCTTTTCAACACACCCAACAATAATACAACATGATCATAATATAAGAGATAAATATGAGTCAGGGAAGATAACCCAACATAGATATTACTCTCTCAGTGATACTACCACATGTTCGAACTCTTTTCAACACACCCAACAATAATACCACATGATCATATTGATTTCATGACCTAAAAGTCTTAATATTAGTACTCTCAAATGTTTGACTTCTTTAAGTTCCTCCTTTTATAGTTATGTTAATATGAACTCATACTCTGAACCAAGCTCCAAAGATGTCTTTCCAAAGTTCCAACAGCACAAACACCGAGAAGCTTGATTGCCTTCTCGAAATCAATAAATTACTTGAAGTTGTATAAAGATTAAGTCATTTGGTATGTAAATACATGGATATTCAATAGTATGCATGTACTATTTAGGAAACTTCTTCTTGCAGTTCTATTGAGACGAACTCAAGCTTCGAACAAAGCTCGAAAAATGTCTTTCCAAGATTTTACTTCACAAGCATCAAGCTTGTCTTCCCGAAATCAGGTAATCGCTTAAATTTGTATACAAATTAAGGTATTGGCTATGTAAATACATAGATATTCAATGGTATACATTTTTGTAATACTCTCAAAATTTTGGTATCTTTGGAGTACCGCTTTTTGTAGGTATTATTTTTGTGATGAACTCATTGGTATTAAATATATATTAATACTCATAGGTATTAGATATTATATATGTAAATATATACATATTCAATAAGTAAAAAATAAGTTGTTAGGTATGTAATTGCATGGTTCAATTACAAGATCTTACTAATAATACTCTTAAAATACTTTTCTCCTTCCTAAGATCAAATTACCATTGAAATGGAGAAGCCATCTGAATGTTGCCCGAGAAAGGATGCATGAGATTAGGTTTGTAAATACATGGTAGATATTCATTAGATGTAATATAAAGCCGTTGAAATGGTGAAGCACTCTGACGGTTGTATGACAACAGATGAGATTTAAGTTATTTGGATTTAGTAAATCTCGTAAATTTGGATTTATTAAATCCCGAATTGGTTAAATCGTGAAAATTGTGCAATGAAATCCCATAAATCTGTTAAATCCATTAAAATTATTTGGAAAGTTCTGCCTACATCTAAGTAAATCTCAATTTTTATACTGAATCAGTTCAATACCTCTGATTCATAACTTTTTGAGAATTGATCCAATAATTTCAATTTTTATACTGAATCAGTTCAACTACGGTCAGGATTATTTCTATTTTTTTAAAAAAAAAGAAAAAAAAATTATCGGGACCGTAGATCAGGTGATCTACGGTCTGGATGTATGGAATAATTTTTCAAATCTCAATAGTTATATAGCATAAATCTTTTAAATCCACTGATTAGCGGAATTTAATATATTCGGGATTTACGACTGAAATCCATGAAATTTGAATTTATCAAATGCACAGTTTTATTTTGTCCAAAATGATCGTCTGATGAGATTCAGCCTACATCCAGGTTAAATCCCGCTCTAAATCCGTTACGAGACAGCCCTTGAATGTTGTCGGAGGAAGGAGGCTCGGGAACGAGTAAGACGGAAATTTTGGGCGGTGAAAATGTAGCTACAAAGTTTTTGGGGTGTTTAAATCATTATAACAAATATTTTAGGTGGTGTGTATGCTAAAAACCGCTTTATAGAATTTGATTAATTGATTATAGCCATGGAGAAAGAGAGAGTAATGTGACGATTTTGGAAATATAGCAGGACTAACTTGAGATTCATTGAATTTATTTTGAAATTAACACAAATTAATTATATACAATATGCAACGATAATTTTGAAATTTATGATTTCAATGCTCATTCAAAATTTCTCGACATGATTTTTTTCCAAACATTTTATATATTCTTTCAGATTTATTTTATAAATATTAAATAACTTTAAATTTCCATATTAAGCTTTATAATTTATAATTTATAAAAATATGGATGCCTGAAAATAAGTACCTATTTATTTGTTCATAAGTCAAATATTCTTACGTCACAAATATTTTTGTTTATTAGTATATACATATTTTTTTTTAGAAAAGAGCAGCTCGTGGCTCCTAGGGGATCCTCCCTCTGCATTACAACTCCACCTAAAAAAAGTCAAAACATAAAACTTAAAAGAGTATAAACCACCCCAAAAATACAAGTATCCCAACCAAAAATATATCAATCCAATGAGGTGTACTCCAAAATAACCATATAGTAAAGACAAGAAAAAATAAGTAAAGGAGTTGTAAAGCCAAAACAAATACTGCTCGAGAGTAACTAGGGTCTGAATCAAGAGAATGAGTATGCGATGTACCACCAGAAAATATTCAAAAGCAAAACAGAAAAGTGTAGCTGCAAAGCAGTAGAGGAGAGAGCCTTAAGATCCAAACCAGAAAGCAAACTATAAGTCGAGTCGTCCATGTTTGAGAAAACCTGCAGAAGAAAACACCTCCAAAATATGGAAACTAAAACAAGACAAAACAAACGCTGGCATAATGATCCAGACCTCAGGCCACATATGGGTGACCACTCCAAAACACGCAGAGGAAAACACGCAGAGGTCAGCCCCCCCATTTAACCCAAAAAACCTCAAACCACCATTCGAAAAGAGCCAAATCAGACAAAATAACAATTGCAGAAACTGGCGGGAAACCCCAGCATAAAACCAACCAGCAGAAGTCCAACACGCCAAAACCAAAACACCTTCAAAACAAAACAAAACCAACGACACCATCATCTGATAAACGGGATGCCCAAACTATCCCCCATAAGAAATGTTTTCAAATCCTCAGAGGGCATAGAACCAACCAAAATAGTTGCATTACCCATTTTAGCTAAATAATCAGCATGGGTATTTATTTCCCTATAAATAAAACTCATCCGCAAGCTCAAATTATAAGCAGCTATCACATTCCAAATCCTATTGATAATACACACCACATTTCAAGGGGGGCTTTGCAATTTAGAGAGAATTTGGAACAAAATGAAGGAGTCAGTCTCCACCACAATATTAAAAAATTGAGAAGTAGTAGCCACTTGTAATGCAAGAAAAACAGCCCAACATTCATTTTCCAAAGGGCAATCAGCCCTAACAGGGGAAGCAAAATAACATAATGTGCAACCCAACCAATCCCTAAAAACACCACCAACACCAGCCCCGGTATATTATATACATAAAGATTTTGGTCTATATACCAACAGGTTGGGGTATGCAGCACATGAGTATGTGTGTGTGTGTGTGTGTGTGTCTATATATAC